AGTAGCCCTGAGTTCAGTTCCTAGTACTGAAAAAAATCTGTTTAGGGTCAGTGAGAGAGTAGGACAGACCCTTAAACTAAGATGAGAAGACTCATATTGGGGTTTAGATTCTTCTAATTCTGGGTATTGAGACTAAGACTTTCTGTTTTAATTTGTAAAATGGGAATGATAGCTCCCAAGGTTATTCTGAGGATTAAAGGGTACATGAAAGCTCATATAATATAGGATAAACAAGAAAACATGATATTGTTAATTTTCTCTCAGTGACTTTGTCTACTGGGTGACAATAAGAGAGTGTCAGGAGAAAGAATCTTAAGCTAAAGATTTAAGTACTAAAAATATTCAACCCCAGAGGTACCACAGACATAGACTAATGTTTTCCATCTGTGCAGTTTAGGGTAGATTTGGCATACACTCAATACCAGGCAAGAAAGAAACTATGGTTTAGGCTGCTTTTAAAGTTAAAAAAAAAAAAAAAAAAAACAGAAAAGGAAACCATTTCCTTTTATAAGCATGAATGTTAAAATAGAGCCTTTATCGAGTTTTTCAGTGAAGTTAGACTCTGATCCTTCCCCTCCCCTACCTCCCCCCACTCCCTATTTGTATTCTGATTAGGTGGTTGTTTTCTATATCATGGTTTATATAGCACGGTCACTTCCTCCTCCCCAAAGTAAAGCAAATAGAGATTCTTCTTAACCAGCCACTTGTGACTCAGAGGTCAAAAGAGCAGCTCTTTGGAGGATAACCTCCCTCAATTACTAATATTTAAGGATCTGGTTTTCAGAGCCAGGGGTCATTCAAAATATTATGACTTTAAGACGAAACCCCACCCACAATGCCTCAGCAGAGACTGAGTTTGAAGTTGAGAAACTGGTCTGAGGAAAAAGATAAAGTAGCAGAAAAAGCCAAGGAGGGTTAGCTGATGACTCACTGCCCTGTTCCTTGAACTTCAGGAATGAGAAGATGGAAAGAAAATAGAGGCAGTGTCTCACTGCAGACCAGAGAAATTCCAGCAAGTTACAGAATTCCATAGGTTCCTGAGTGGGTACGGTTGCACACGCCTGTAATACCAGCAAGGCTGAGGCAGCAATGCATTCAGGTTCCTCTTGGGCAACATAGTGAGATCCTGTCTCAAAAAATTTAAAAAAGGGCTGGAGATGTAGCTCAGCAGTAGAGCACCCTTGGGTCCAATTCCATTACGGCAAAACAATGAACAACAACAATAATGAAAGAATTACCAGAGTTGTTAGGATTAAGGCTGCCTGACTGGCTTTCCGTGGTCAAGGTATTAAGTGCATCAGAGAACAAACACTAGGAGAACCACATTGATTTCACTTTATCAGAGCTATGTCCTAAGTCAGATTATTTTATGGTCCTGCTAAAAAAATATCACTAACTACACTGCTCTTCCATGAAGTCTAAATTCACAATGCATAGAATATTCTTCATACTATGACCCTAGCCTTCCTTGGTAAGATTTTCTTTCTTTTTTTTTTTTTTTTTTTCCTTTTTGAGATAGGGTTTCACTATGCAGTTCATCAGGCTGGACTTGAACTCACTTTGTAGCCCAAGCAGGCCTCCAACTCACAGTGATCCTCCTGCCTCAGCCTCCAGAGTGCTGGAATTACAAGTGTGCACCACCACGCCCTGCTTTTTTTCTTTTTTTTTTTTCCCTTGGTAGTTTCACCTTCTATTTATTTCTTACTACTTCTCTTGGAATGTATGAGAGACTACTTCTAAGTTCTCAAATAAGCAAGATACTTTTAAACCTCCATTCATTTGTCCACACTATTCTCTGTGCCCCAAACTTTTACCCCAGCTTGCAAATTTATGTGCTCTGTCTCACACATCATTTCTTCTCTATGGCTTTCTTGACTTACAGTCTCTCCTGCCACTCAGAGCGATTGTTCTTTCATCTCTGGAGCCACGGTCCTTCGAACATGCCTTTGTTAAACCCTGGACATGATGAATTAGATCACAGCAGTGCATATTCCGTGAAGTCAGGTGTGAACAACTCATTGTGCAATTCTCACCACCCTGTAGGAGGATACAGGTTTGCTGAACTGAATCAATATTAAAACACAACCAAAGCATACATGGGTTTTTCTAGGTCTAAGAATTATGCTAGGCCTAGGCAGCACATATACTAGAAAGTGTGTGGTAAACCTATATACACAGATGATTCTCATTTTGGTGTCACCAGAGTGCCTGTAACTTGCTTTTATTAAATCATGGTTGTAAGTATATTTCTCTAGATAAAAATTTATCAATCCATTTGCTGCTTAACATTTTCAAGCTATAGCCCAGTTGGTGAAAAAGAGCTGCGTAATTTGAAACATTGTCCAGCTGGAGTGGAATCACATGGAGGCTTGCTTTAGTCAGGGCACCTCAGTCTTGCTTTTGCTTTTCAAAGAGTCTCTGTCGGCCATGGCCTTCGGATGGATGAGCTGAATGGGAACCGAATGAACGCCATGCAATTTTAACCTTCACGTTCTCTTTCCCAGCACTTAATTTTTCTTCTCTAAATTAAACAAGTTAACTGAAGAAATGTACAATCCACTTATTTTTCTTTTATCCATATGCCTACCTTGTTTCAGAAGAACAAAAAATTTTTTAATTAGTCCATGGTTGCAGGACATGAAGATTACATTCTTCCTGGGAAGTGGGTATGAGCACTGACCACATCTTAATTCTTTTCATCCCCTTCTCCTTCCCTCCCTCCATCTCTTGGTCCTCTTCCCATTTACAAAAGATCTAGCTACCCGGTTCCTACTACCTACCTTCTATTTTGCTCTTTATAGATTGGTGGTTTCTCATATACAAGAAACCAAGCATTATTTAAACTTGTGTCTGATTTACTTCACTTAACATTATGGTCTCAAAGTGCATCCATTTTCCTACCAATGACTCATTTATCCTTCTTAAAGGCAGAGTGGCACTCCATTGGGTATAAATGTCACAGTTTTTTTTAATCTATTCATCCTTTTATTGGCATGTAGGCCACTTCCAAGATTTAGCTATTACAAATTGTGCTGCTACAAACATGGGTATGTATGTATTACTATGATATTTTTAATTCTTTTGGGAAGATACCTCAAAGGGGAATAGCTGGATTGAACAGAATTCCTATTTTTAGTTTTCAGAACAAAAATTTAAGACATATTAAAGAAAAAAATTCAAAAACAAACTGTTCCACGCTCATTCCTTCGGTTGTTTGGATGACCTTCCGTCAGTAGTGCTGGTCAGTGCAAAAGACTCATGGAAAAGTTTTATAGGCATTAGTTACACTGCTTCTGGAAGCATCCTTATCCAGCTCTAGAGCACATGATTCTAGCCAGGCCTATGGTCATTTTTACCCTAAGACTGAATCAATTGGAATTTGTTCAACCTTCAAATCTCTCATCTGCCCTTACCAAGGTTACATAACAATGTGGCTTGCTCCCAGCATGCAGTGGGGCTGGTCAGATCACGACTGATTCACGCCTGCAGATGCTCAAGGGTCCAGCCCAAAGCGAGGAGTAGGAGTGCTGGAGCCAGTCTGTCTGAGTTTGCATCAGTCCACACCTCTGACCGGTTGTGTGACCTCAGACTGATTACTAAACCTCTCTATGCCTCACCAGTTTTATCAGTAAAAGAAGAAATAATGATGGTGCTGCCTCCTGGATTTGATGTGTGGAGTAGGTGAGTTAATATATGAATCCCTGAGAACAGTGTCTGGCACATGGTCAGGACTGGATAAAGATGAGCCTTATGTCTACACTTCATACACTGTTTCTTTACATTTTTAGGTAAGATAAGTGGGTGTCTTAAAAAAATAAAAGCAGGATGGTCATTTTTAGAACCAACTTTATTTACAAAATTGCAACTCAGTCTGCTTTGGTAACATTATTGAAAAAAATGCCCACAACTGAGATATTAGCTAAGGCAATACATTGATTTCAGCTTCACATAAAACCAGGATCCACTACCCCACTTTCCTATCCCTGTTGGCTCTGAACGCAGGTTTCACAGACAAACACACAAATAAACAAACAATGAAAACAGAAAAAGTTTATAATGTAGAATGGCTTAAACGAACCACTTCTTTCGTCATTTTTTTTCTACTTTAGGGTTTGGAAAGAGATACTTACATAAAATTTGCTGTTTAGAGAGAAAGCCCTGGGCAATGGGGCACTTAAAGGTGAAGGTTTACTTAACCTGACATTTATAATACAATATCCATAATGGCTTTAGAATAACAAAAATAAATAACCTCGGTAAGCATACATTGATAATTTTATGACAAACTTGTATCTAACATCATCCTGAGAGATTAGAAGATCTCACTATGTATTTAAAGTTTTGATTTATTCTGTAAGCTGAGTTACAGTCTTGTTCCATATTAAAGCAGCTGTCAGCACTGTAACACGTAATAACCAGCACTGATGGAAAATTAACACCCTGCTCTTTTTTGTTTTTTTGAGATAGGGTCTTACTATTTATGTAGCTCAAGCTGGCCTTGAGCTCACGGTGTGGCCCAGGCTAACCTTGAACGCCAGGCAATCTTCCTGCATCAGGCTCCCAAGAGCTATGATTGTAGTCATGCACCAGCGTGCCCAGCCACCCTGCCTTTTCTTTCTTTCTTTCTTTTTTTTTTTTTTTTTGTCTTTTTGAGACAGGGTTTTGCTATGCAGTTTAGCTTGGCCTTAAACTCACTTTGTAGCTCAGGCTAGCCTCTAACTCTCAGTGATCCTCCTGCCTCAGCCTCCCAAATAGTGGGATTACAGGCATGTGCCACCACATCCAGCTGCCCTGCTCCTTTTTTAACACTGTTAATATTCAGCTGAGTAATGTACTTGTGGTTAATTATATGAGTTAGTAAAAACACCCTTTATTCAGGAATCTTTTCTTACCTAAAGTTAAAATTCACATATATTGGGCATAGAAGATAAAAACAACTCCATTGGCTTAAAGGAAACTGAGGTAACTAATTTGAGATAGCAAATAAATAAACCAACAAATGCTTCATTTTTGTTTTAAAACAAAACAACAACAATAAAAACAAAAAGAAATCACTGGCAAATCCTCATTAACAATTTTTAAGTTGATCCGTGAACATATAAATAGGAAAAAGTTATGAAAAATATTATGTAATTCCGCTCATCGAATACACTCCTCTGCTGAGACATCTAACACATCTTCATCTGTACTCTCTTCTACCTCTGGCAAGTTGCCCCAAAGTAGGAAGTTTATACCTGGAAATAAAAGGTCATAAAATCTTTAGTGCTCACAATTATTATAATTCAGAACATGATATACAAAATTTAATCATATGTTATTCTTCTATGAACCAGTATTGACAGTAAAGAGAGTAAAGAGAACAGCTATTAAATGATAGACTACAAATAAAATTATCATCCATCTGGGACACAAACATTCTTTTTGCTGTTGGCAGTGTTGGGGATCAAACTCAGGGCTTTATGCAAGAACTCTACACTGAGCTACACCTCATCTTGCAAACATTCTGTAAGCCCTTTTAAGCAAGAGCTTGAATTTTAGAATCTTAAAACTCAAAAGGATCTCAGGAATCTGCCTTCTCAAATCCTGCCTCCAGCAACATTATGCCGTAATCACGCTATACTGATTATTCTTTAATCTATTTTAGTGATCTTTGAGAATGGTGGTCTTGGGCCAGGGATATAGCTCAGTGGCACAGTGCCTGCCTGGCAAGTGCAAGGACCTGAGTTTGATTCCCGGTACAAAAAAAAAAAAAAAAATGGTGGTCTGGAGCAACCTATTCAGGGCCCCTCCTTTTTCTCAGGAGCTATTTCTATTTCCCGTTCCTTTTCTCCAATAAATTTTCCTACTCTTAAAAAAAAAAAAAAGAATGGTGGTCTCACAAAAACTACATGTGTGGTGGCCAATGCCTCTAAATCCCAACACTCCAGGAGGCTGAGGCAGGATAGCAAGTTGGAGCCCAGCCTGGACATCTTAGTGACAGTAAGAGTCTGTTTCAAAGAAAAGAATTTCACAAGATTCTTTTAGATTAAGAGTCCCTTTGGAGGGCTGAAGGAAAATCCTTGAATAAATCTCCTCGTGTCTTCTATAAGCATAGCAGTAACTGGTGTCATTTTTCTGATAAAAAAAGCAAGATTTTAGAGCCAGCTATAATCTGAACTGTAATCCTTGAAGTAGGTGGGCTCCAGTCTACAGGCTGTCAAAACAGAGCTGTAAACTTCAGGACCAGGTCGCAACAGACAATACTGGTAACAGAACAATGACCTAAATCTCATTTAGAAAGATTAGTCAGAAATCATGCTGAGGGGCAGGCGGGGTGGTGCATGCCTGTAATCCCAGTCCTTGGGAGGCTGAGGCAGGATCCTTGTAAATTCGAGACTAACTTGGGCTACAAAGTGAGCTCAAGGCTGGCCTGAATTGCATAGTGAGACCCTGTCTCAAAAAGACAAACAAAACAAAGCAAAACAAAAAACTCCCCCAAAACAAATACCCCCCCCCAAAAAAAAACTCACATAGAATTCACACTGAGGATCTGGCAGAATACAGTATGAGACTAAACACACTAAAGATAACAAGATGGTTTATTCTGGGTATGTACTATATTACAGCTTGAGTGTAATAAATTGGGGGAAAAAAATGACCTCTAGAAGGCAAAGGAAGTTCCACAAGAAAAGCAAATATCAAGCTGTCCAGCGGACAGGGTGGGCACAAGGAAGACTTTGCAGCTCAGGACAACCCACGGCCACATGGTGGGACGCGATGAGCCACGGCATGGATTTGGACTTGAACCCAGTTCCCAGTGCTACCAGTACTCTAGGTCTGGTGTCACTGCTTTCCTTACAGAAGGATACAACCACAGGCAATAGATTTAAACATTTTATGCAATGGTATAAAACAATACATGTTTATCTAGTTTATCATTCATTATGTTCATTGGGAGGTTTACTTATTTGATATACAGACTTAGTTCATTTATTTTTAATTCTGTAGAGTAACCCATCGTGTGGATTTAAAAAATATATCTATATCTCTATATCTATATATATCTATATATCTATACCTAGTATATCACTTATCCACTAGCTGCCCATCCTGCACAGGTGCCCAAAGAGACATGTACAAGAGGTGTGTGTTACACTGCTGAAGAGTGGAAATAATCAACTGTTTCATTTGAAAGAAATATCAGAATCTAAACAGGCCAAAAAAATTAGCATTTATTTGATGCTAGTGAGAATACAGTTACATACCATATTATTTTCTGTAATTTTTTGGTTTGAATTGCTTATTATGAAAAATATCCCCCCCCTCCCACCAAGATTGAATTCTGATTCTAGTAACAGGCATTGAAAAGCTGACAGGATTGCAGGGAACGTAGGCTCAAATTTAAGTAAAAGTTAGAACTCAGAAAAATAATTGGAAAGCTGAAGCTGTGAGAGTATTTGCCCAAAATATAAGGAATTTGAGCTAAGAATTCCCAATCTTCTTTGGGAAAGCTCTGGGAAACCCAGATTTCTATGTGAAGGCTACCCTAGAACACAGACCCGCAAGGGTTCTTTTGAGTCTAAGCATTCTAGAATTTGTGAAACCTGTGCCTTCATTCCTTCGGTGTTACTGATTCAGCTGATTAAAGGATAGTCCCCATGCCATTAGGAACACTCATACACACAGCACCTAGAAAATCTTACTTTAAATCATAGCAGTGAGGTTATAAACGAGAAGTCATATTCTTAGAGTCAATACTCATGGCCACGAAGCAGCTCAGCACAATTGGTTCAAAGGAGAAAAAATAAACTGGGAGATTGAATCTGACAGAAGCGCCACCTTCCTTTCTCTGTTAAGAAGAGAGGAAGGAAATCCTGTGACACATCTGTTTCTCATGGATTAGGTTCAGTGCTAATAGGAGAATGCTGGGCTTTTATCTTTGCAAAATTTACCAATATTAAAAAGTAAATCAAAATTGAAAAATCTCCACCCAATGTTTTGAATCCTCTGAAGCAGGAAAAATGATATCAAGATGGAAAGTTCCTTTAATGTGTTCCATTAGCAACACAGTTATAACACTGAAGGCCTAAATTAGGAGCCTATGTCCTACTTAGTGGAGTTCAGAAAAGTCCTTGCTTCAAAAGGGCCTTCTTAGCATACAGTCTTAAATTAAGACCTCTGAAAAGATGGAATTAAGAGCCACAGCTCAATCCCAGGTGATTTAAAAAAAAAAAAAATCAGCCTATAAAAAACCCAAGCATAATGGGAAGGTTTAAAGACCCTGGCAACCTAGCTCACAATTCATGAGCTTTTGGTTGTGAAGGCAAATCAAGTTTAAAAGAAAGAGAAAAAGAAAAAAAGAAGAAATAGATTTTAAATTCCAAAGACTAAAACACACATTTAAAAACTTGAAGCTAGTTGTGGTGGCGCACACCTAAAATCCCAGCACTTGGGAGGCTGAGGCAGGAAGGTCACCACAAGTTCAAGGCCAGCCTGGGCTATGCAGTGAGTTTAAGGCCAGCCTCAACTGCACAGTGAGGCCCTGTCTCGAAAGAAAGAAAGAAAGATGGATGCGAGTTCAAGTCCAGGCTGGCCAATAAATGAATGAATGAATGAATGAATGCTAGAGATGTAGCTCAGTGTGAAGCCCCTGGGTTCAATCCCCCATTACTGCAAAAAACAAAAACAGAAAAACATCTGAGAGGGTTAGTACCAAATTAAATCATCAAGTTCCTTTTTTCATTCTTTTTTGAGACAGTGTCTTCCCAAGTCACTAAATTGCTCAGACTGGTCTTACACTTGTGTTCCTCCTGCCTCAGCCTCCTCCATTTCTGGGATTATACACATGTACCACCATGCCCTACCTGTCAGGTTCCTTAATGTCAACCTAGTCTTTTGTGTAAATAGCTATTAGACATTGAGAACATCTGCCCTATAATAAAACTGAATGACTCTAGGCAATATGAAAAGTATCATATACATACTCATAAGAATTGGTAGTTTATTTGCTTACAAAAATAACTATATAGGGTCGGGGATATAGCTCAGTGGCATAGCACCCGCCTGGCAAGCACAAGGTCCTGAGTTCTATTCCTGGTGCCAAAAAAAAAAAACAAAAAAACAAACCTGGTATAACATATTGGTAATAAGTATTTCCCTTGACTAAAATTCTATAACTTATTAATATAGATGTCAAAATGTCTATTTTTATCCTAAAGAATTACCAAATACAGAGGTTACCTAGTCCTCCTCTTCCCACCTCCATTGGCCTAGCCTCTTTATCCTTTCTCTCTCTCTCTCTCTCTCTCTCTCTCTCTCTCTCTCTCACACACACACACACACACACACGACTATCATGTTTAAAAATCTTCCTGTAATTCTAGCACTTGGGAGGCCAAGGCAGGGCAATCTCAAGTTTGAGGCCAGCTTGGGCTACCTAGTGAGTTCAAGGACAACCTGGACTACATGATGAGACAAAAACCAAAACAAAATCTCCAAAAATTCTCTGAGGTCATAATAGGCATCAAGGTGGTAATTTGGAGCAATTAAAATATTAGTTTAAAAAAACCAAGAAATCCAGCAAAGTTTGAAACTCTTCAATACAATGGTCAACACAGAGATGGCAATTAATTTTGGCTACTAGTTTTTCTAGATGACTCTCTGGGAGAACTATCGGGAACGACCTGAAGTTTCCTGCTAGCCGATCCAGTTCCGCTCTGGACTGCTTTACTTCTTACCTGTGGAGTCCAGTCTGTTAATACCATAAACAGCCCGGCTGTGGAACATCCAGAAGTGTCCATTGTTGCAGGAAAGAAGGCAGGAACTACAGGGAACAATCACGTGATAACCGACAATGTTTCCACTGAAAAAGAACGTAAATGCTGTTAGATACCGTGCAATAACTGACCGTGGAAGCACTTCGAGGTGCTAATGCAAACAGGCGACAAAATTTAGAGTCTGTTTCTTCCAAACAGCCCCTGTTGCTAGGGTCTTTGGGATGGGCATTACTCTGATAACGGCTGCAGTCCCCCGCCCCCCCGCCGCCCCACCCCCCGCTGCCCCAGTGGGAAAAGAGTGGTAAGTTAAGTGAAATGATACTAATACACTGTCATCTTTTTTTTGCTACTTTTACTTTATGTATTCCTTCCTCAGCAGCTAGCTTCTGGATGGGATTTGTTCTGTAGAGAACAAATATAAGGTTGCGGTTTCTTCTATGAAATATCCCACATTGATGTGCTATTCAGACAAAATATATAAAGTAAGTTCAGGTCTGTGGGTGAAGGCTTTCCCCACCCCAAGACTGTTGCAAGTTGGGCTTCTCCATGCTCTTGCTCCACGCCAGCACCTAAAAACTGTTTCAGCAGATGGAGCGGTAGGAAGACAGCTCGCGTCCCTGTGAACCAAACACACTGGCTGTTCTAATTTTAACTGCAGTGTTTTTGAAGGCATTCAGAACTAAAGCAAATCCTTAGGCTCTAAAAGAAGACAAGAAAGTTCTTACTGTCTTCCTATTACCCAGCCGATTATAAGCAGCTCACTGGTCCACAACTTTTTTCCCAGCTAGTCACACACTAAGTAGAGTGAACATACAGGGAACATTTTAGTACTTCCTTTAAAAAAAAATGGCACCATGGGCTATTTATACTTTGAGTTGTAAAAATTCTTAGGATAGCTGGGTCTCATCTGTGAGATGGGGGAGGCAGTTATTTTTGGGAGACCCCATAAAGAATACCATAGAAGGTACAAGCCCTCCATAATGTCTTCTAACCATAACCTGCTTGAAAGGCAAACAGATGAAAACAGAAATCATTTTTAGATGAGGACTGACTGTTATTTGATATATATATATATATTTTTTGGGGGGGTACTGGAAATTGAACTCAGGACCTCGTGCTTGCCAGGCAGGTGCTTGCCAGGCAGGCCCTGTGCCACTGAGCTATATCCCCGGCTCCCCTGACCATTATTTGGAGACTATATTGCAAGAATAAATTATGTGACTTTAATTACCACCTATTTTCATTCATTTATCTGTTCAGCCCCTCAGCTAAAGTTTACTGAGCATCTACTTCATGCCAAGCACTGTTCTAGCTGCTAGGACCAACTGTAGACAAAACTAAGTCCTTATTCTCAGACCATTTTGCTCCCTTGTTAAAACCCCTTCCATGGTTTCCCATGAGCCAAAAGTGAAAATAAGAAAACCTCTCCATACCAGGGTCTAGAACAGTGGTGGTGAACCTTTTAGAGACGAGTGCCCACAGTGCAGTCCAAAACCAGGTTATTTACTGCAAAGCACCAACACTGCAACTAAATGTGAATGCTGAGGTTTTAGTTTAGGAAAAACAACTCATAGCTTAACATCTTTTGTCTTAAAAGAAAAATAAATAACGCATGTGCCATAGGTTTGCCGATCCTGCCCTAGAAGATCTTATGTGACTAAAACAGTAGCCACATGGGACCACTGAGTGCTGAACTGAGTCTTCTGTAAGTGTAAAATATAAACCAGATTTTGAAGAGCACGGGAAAAAAGTAAGAATGTGAGAGCTGGGAGGTTGAGGCTGAAGGATTGCAAATTCAAGCCCAGCCCGGACAATTTTGTGATTTTAAAAAGACCTTGTCTCAAAATTAAAAAATAAAAAGGGCTGGGGTTGTAGCTCAGGGTGAAGGCCCCAGGTTCAATTCCCAGTACTGCCAAAAAAAAAGAAAAAAGAAAGATATTATTCCATTAATTATTTTGTGTTGGTTTCATGTGGAAACAATAGTATCTTGGATATACTGTGCTAAATCTTGGATATACTGGTAAATAAAATATATGGCTAATATTAACTATACTTGTTCCTTTTAACTTTTAAAAATATTAGTAGAAAAATTTAGCTGAGTATGATGGTGCGTGCCCATAATCCTAGCCCTTGGGAGGCTGAGGCAGGAAGATCACTGTGAGTTCAAGGCCAACCTGGGCTACAAAGTAAGTTCAGCCTAAAATGCATAGCAAAACCTAATCTCAAAAAGATTAAAAAAAAAGTTGGCTTGGGTATTTCTATTAGACAACATTGGTCCAGATTCTAGGTTCTGAAGTTTTTTTGGAGACAAGTTCTTGCTGTATAGCCCAGGCAAATCTCAATCTGTGATCTTCCTGCCTCAGCCTCCTGAGTGCTGGGAATACAGGTGTGTGCCACTAAGACCAGTTCAGAGTACATTTGAACCTCTTTATACTATTCCTTCCCTCCATGTTCACATCTTAACCCCATTAGTCAACATCTTTTTATTGCTTGAACATACTAGGTCTTTCAGGAGGTAGTACTGGGAACTGAACCTATGGCCTTTACACTGCACAACACCCCTGGCCCTTTTTATTTTCTGAGACAGGGGCTCAGGAAGTCACCAAGCTGTCCCGGCTGCACTTGAACTTGCCTCCACCCCTCTGAGTGCTCAGAGCACAGGTGTGCGCTACCACACCTGGCACGGAAGTTTCTCTGTGTACGAGTTCTTTGCATTTGCTGTTCCCCTGCCTAAAACATTATTCCTCTGGCTTCTTTTCACTGGCTAGGACCTCACTCCAATGTCATAGCTTTATGAGCTGGCTTCCCTGACCATGATATTTAAAACAACTCTCACCTACTCTCCCAACTTCTGTTATTCTCTATCACTTATTCTTATTTCCTTTGGAGTACTTCCCACTATATTAAATATCCTACTTAAGTATCATATTGACTGTGACCATTTCCCCACTAGAATATCACATCTAAATGCCAATGACTTTACTTCGCTCACAAGTGCGCTACCATCCCAGCAGCAGGCAGAGCCCTCTGGGTCAGCAGGCCCAGCAGCTGAGCACCGTGTAACAGCTGTTTTTCTAAACTAAAAACGCAGTATTCAAGTTTAATTGCAGTGTTGACACTTTGCAGTAAATAAGTAGGTTTGGGGTTGCAGTCTGGGCTCTCATCTCTAAAAGGTTCACCATCACTGCACTGTAACAATGGTTTGTACCCGGTAGGTCCTCAATATAAGTATAGCTTGGATGGAGGAATTCAAACAATCGCTAACACGTAATAGTTTGATGATTTAAATAATTAGAATTACAATTTGTAATTCAAATCTCATTCAAATGAGAAAATTTCAACTTTTCTAGAGTGGAAATAATAACACAAAGCTGCCTACCTTTCAAAAGATACTGGCAATAACTCTCATCTATGTTTTATTTATAGCTTATCAGCCTTTTAACATTCATAATTCATGTCTTCTTCACCACTTTATAGAGTAAATACAGAAGACATTTCACTATCTATTAATAAGATAAAAAATTAAGGTCCCCTCCGTCCTCATTGTTTTTGCTGTCTTCTGCCTGCCGTGAAATGTCCTCCTCTGTGAGGCCTGTCTACTGTGCCATCCCGCCTTGGAGTCAACCAATTATGGACTAAAAACTCTGCAAAGTATGAGCTAAATAAATCTTTCCTCCCTTAAAGAAAAAATAAGGAAACAAAAGTTCAGAGGTTTAGAGGTTAAAGGAACTTATGCAAGATTGTATAGACAGTAAAGGAAGGGCCAGGGCTCAAATTTGACTTTTATGACTATAATTCCTGTGCTGGGACCCGCTCATCCCCCACTGTCTTATTCTGGGGGGAAGAAATCAGATAACTATGAGCGCACTTTGAAAAATTACAACATCATATACAAATGTGAAGTATTACAAGATCCTTTAAAAAAAAATAGCTCTAAGTAACAAATGGTTTTGCAATGGCTCGTTGCATGGGTTAGATCAGTGCTCGTTGCAGCCCACTGAACCTTTCTCTGGGCTGTGGTGTCAACATCCATCTTCCAGATGAAGGTGATCAAGAATATTGCCGCCAATTACCATTTTAAACACGCGATGTCCTTCAGTTTACACTTGCAGATTTCAGTGAAATAGCATCTTCCAATGAAGTCCACTGTGCTGTAGAATGAAAAAGTTCCCAGTCAGATCTACTTTAAAAAATTGAACTGTGGCCAAAAAAAAAAAAAAAAAATTATCATCTTAATTTTTAAGTGTACTGTTCAAAAGTGTTAAATATAGTCACACTGTCATGCAGCAAATCTTCAGGTCTTCTTCACACTGCAAAACTCTGTACTTAATTCATAACAATTCCCCACTTACCAATTCCCAGCTCCTGGCCACTACCATTAGACTTTCTAAGATTTGTCTATGCTAGATGCTGCATGTACGTAGAATCATATAGCATTTGTCTTTTTGTAACTGGTTTATTTTACTTAGCATAATATCCTCATAGTTCATCCATGCTGTGGCATATGACAGAACTGTCTTCCTCTTAAGGCTGAATAATATGCTATTGTATGAACATACATTTTGTTTATTCACTCATCAGTTGAGTCAATGGACATTTGAATTATGTCTATCTACTGGCTATTGTGAATAATGCTGCTGTGAATATGAGTGTGCAAATCAAATATTTTCTGAAGATCTTGCTTTGAACACACACATACTTTTTTTTTGGTGGGCAGGGCCTCTAAACTGAGTTATATCTGCAGCTCTTTTTTATTTTTTATTTTGAGATAGGGTCTCATTAAGTTGCTAAATTGTCTTTGCTGGGTTTGCACTTATGATGCTCCTGCCTTAGCCTCCCAGAGTGCTATTACAGGCATGTACCACCCACCTGGCCTGCTTTGGATTCTTTTAGACAAATACCATGTGGAACTACTGGTAACCATACCGTTTTCCATAGGGGCTGTACCATTTTACATTCCCACAGTATATAAGGGTTCTAATTTCTCCACATTCTTAGCATAGAATGTACTTTAGTCATTTAGTACAAATTTTGTAAATCTAGAGCTGAAAGAGACTCTAAAACAGAGTTACAGTATATTTTGTAAGAACCAGTTAATATTTATGAGTTCACTATACATACCTGGAAAATCTTTTTTTTTTTTTTGGTCTTTTTGAGACAGGGTCTCATTATGTAGTTCAGGCTGGCCTTGTACTCACTTTGCAGCCCAGGCTGGTCTCCAGCTCACAACAATCCTCCTGCCTCAGCTTCCCTAGTGCTGGGATTACAGGCGTGTACCACCACGCCCAGTGGAAAATCTATTTTTAAAGATCTTACGTGTTCATTGATTCACACATATCTTACTACATTGGTCTATCACTATTAGAGCTCTGTCAAAGAACAATAGGAAAGACTTACTGTTCAAAAGAAAAGAGAAACTGGGAAGGGGAAAGGGGAAAGGAAAAGAAAAAAATATAGATATACACAAGATAGCATAGTTATACAGCTAGTTTCTCTTAGTTCACTGAAAAGAAAGGTTTGAGCTAATATTGTTTGGACAATATTTCTTGCCTATATCTTGTACTATAAAGATAACAATATGCAATGTATTAATTATTGTTACTGTCCTACTAACCTGTTTTGAAACTGTTTGTTACTTTTATTTTTATTGTTTTTCCTCTCTTTAAAATAAAAGACTTGATTCTATTCTAGGCTGTAGTCCAACAATTCAAGTATTTGAGTCCTTCTTATGATTGCCTGTTACTACAGCTATTGTAGAAATGAACGGGGTAATATGTTAAATTTTTGTATGTGCTACTAAAAAGAAAAAAACTCTAGACAATAAATTGTGGAACACAAACTTAAAATATTAACCCATTTATCTCTGCAACAAATTAGAGCCTTTGGCTCTGCAGTTAGGCAGCACTACACTTAAACCAATTCACAAAATATTTCAAGAGAAGAGTGCACAGCTTGACTTGAGTATATTTAAAAACTTTTAAAACTTCTGTAATTATCATGAATTTCTTTTAAATAAAGGCTATAATATATTTCTTCTAAGTCTTTGTCCAAGGACTTGGAGAATAGTTGCCCATTCCTAGTTTGCTTAACTATTTTCCTTTCTTTTCTTTTTTTGGGAATCGAACTCAGGGCCTTGAGCTTCCCAGGCACTGTGCTGCCGAGCTTCATCCCCAGCCCAATCAAGATATATCTGAGTAAAATAAAACGGCTATTTTATCAAATAGGAAGCAAAATTTAAGGAGGCCACACTTAAAAGCGAGAAGAGGCAGAAAATAGATTTTAAAAGGATTCAACTATGCAAACTGATGTGCAATATCCAAAATGGGCTTTATGGGGATAAGAAATTATCTTAAGGTTACGTATTTTTCTGTCCCATAAAGATCTATTTAGGTCTCTCTCACTGCGGGGTTGGAGAGGGGTTGAGAAACAAATTTTAAAGCATGGACAACGGATCTGATTGAGCATACTACTTGCAAATAACGGTAGAAAACTTTTGGTTTGGTGTAAAACTTTAAGAATAAGAATGAAAATCTTATGCGATTTATCTACAAGAGTACAGACAATCTTGCCTGAATTTGCCTCCAGTCTAAGTCATGGACTTGATTCAGTGAAACAGGATGGTTGGGCAGGGATCCAACTTAAGGAGTGTGTGGCCACGTGACTATAATTGAACTAGAGGCATTACAGCAGGACTGACCACTTCGGCTAAACCACAGACTACGTCCAGACAGTCTGCCCACTTAGACCTACTCCAAGGGCATCATCAGACTTTCAGGAGTGGCTGGAACACCAAATGATAACCTCCTCATTGACTCCCGGACATCCAAGCCATACACGTTCCCGTTTAAAGGCCACCGCTGCCCACCTCTAGTTTAACTTACGTGGTTGGAGGGATGTCTGTAGAGAAAAGGTCTATGTCAGTATCAGCCAGCAACACAGCCTTCATTCCCCTAGAGCTGAGCACTTGTTTACAGAATTTGCAACACAGGATGGACACGCATCGGTCCTCGAAACTACAACTGCTGGTGGTCATAGCGTCCCACGGAGGATGAGGCGCGGGATTTTTGAAAATGCAAACAGGAACAATACCCTTCCTACTTTGATTTCCCTGGCGGGGGTGAATCAAATCAGAACCTGCGGTCTCGGATTCTTCTCTAAGCGCTAACACTGGGAAGGAACAGGGTATTTCGCTGCTTTCCCGGTGGAAGGGTAAAAATACTATTTATTGAGTGGGAACAGCGAATCTGGCTTCTTTGCAACTTTCCTTGAAGGGTGGAGTTGGCGGTGCGGAAGCAGGAGGCCGAGTTGGCGGAAACTCCTGGCTGTCTGCTGTCCGGAAGGGCGCTCTCCTCTTCAGCTCCCGAGTCTCCACGACGCTCCTTCCCCGGGTCCCGCACTCGGACCCCAGGCTACCCTCAGCGGCCCCGTCCCGCTTTCCGGGGCTCCTCGAGGCTCTCCCGCAGCGGCCGCTCCCGAGCGAGCGGTGGTGGTGGTGGAACGGGGCGGAGGTCGCTTTTAGGCTAAGTCCACGCAGGAGTCCACGTTCGTTTGGGGGTTAATCTTCCGCTTTCTGTGCCTTTCCAACCGGCTGTCAGTTTGAACTGCCAGCGCCGTGCACCGATTGGGAGAAGTAGAGTCCGCCCTACGTCGCGCATTGGAAGGCCGGCGGCCTTCACCTACAAGAGCTTAGTGGCTTGCAGACCATACGCCCAGCCCCAGTAACGGTGCAGAGATCAGTTCGGCTTTCTGGTTGGTCAAGATTGGCCCCGCCTCCCATCTCATTGGTCGGTCTCTGCAGGTTGGGGCCTTTGCCAACACACGCCCTTTGCACTTCTTATTGGAGGATTTCTACAGTCCCCGCCGAGCTCTACTCTCTATTGGCTAAAAATTCTCACAACGCCCCGCCTCTCTACTCAGGTCCAATTGGTCTTGCAGTCTCCCAAGAGTTTGTGTTTGGCTGTTGGTTCATTTTAGTCCCACCCATCAATTCTACTAAGGGATTCGCCAGCCCTAGGAGGAGCTTACCGTGGGACCACGCCTCGGTAGTGAGTGCTAGTCACGCCTCCAAGTTTGTCTGTTCCGCCCCTCATTCCTGGCTTCTCCGGATCAGCTATTTCTATTGGCTGAAAACCCTATCGGTCGATAGAAAGCGGGCGGTGATTGGCTAGGAGGTGGGTCCTGCTTCCCGGCGGGGTCCTGCGGAGTTGGCTGAGGCTCCTCGGGGGACTGGGGGGCCGAGCTGCGTAGAAGCGGGTGGCTAGGAAGAGAGGGGAGGAGAGCTCTGAGAGGGAAGCGGAGTCGGGGGCCTGGGACCTATCTCGTCAGAGCCAGGTAAAGGCTCCTTTCCTTCCCCTTTCTTCCCGGCTGCCAGGCTGGAGCCCTGACTGAAGGGACCCCGGCCAGGGCGGGAAGGAGAGGGCGCGGATGCCCCCGGCCCGGAGTCCCACGGGCTGCCCCCCGCCCCCGACCCTCTCGGAGTCTCCCGGCGCAGCCCATAATACTTCTCCGGACGGCGTGTCCCCCGCCCGTCACCGCCCGGCGCGCCGCCCGTCCCGCCCGTGCCGCTCCCAGCCCCCTCCCGGGCCCGGCGGCCTGGGGCTGCGCGCTGGCAGCGCCCGCGCCCCCGCCGGCCTCTCCCGCTGTCTCCCAGCCCCGGAAGCCGGCCCAAGTCGCAGCAGGACCCAGAGGGTGGGAATTCCTCACAGCGTGCCGGGTCTTTCCCCGACCAGACCCCGGCCCCCCGGAGGGCTCTTTTCACCCGCAGACCCGCGTCTCGGAGCCCAGAGTTGCCCCCGACCTTGCCCTGCGCGCGACCTCGCAGCCCTCGTCGTCCCCGCCCCGCACCCCGAGGCCGTCCTCTCCCCGCACCCCTAGGCCGTCCCCGCCCCGCCACCCCGAGGCCGTCCTCTCTCCCGCCGTCAAGCTGTGCAGCTCAGTGGTCCTCGGGCGCCCGCCCCGCCTCAGACCGCACCTCACGCCCGCGTGCGCCCCGCCGCCTCGGCTCCCTCTTCTCTTCCTCCGGCCGCGGGGAGCGGGAGCCTCCTCCGGGACCTGAGGGGGCAGGGGCGGCCGAGAAGGGGCAGTCGCCCAGCGCCCGGCTCCTTGCTCTGCCCGCTGCTCCGTACCTCCCGGGCCCTGATCGAGGCGGGGTCTCCTCCCTGTGCGACCCTCTCCAACCCCTGCCCACCCCGCCTGGGACTGGGTGCTGTGTCTGGGATCCCAGGGCTTGGGTGACAAAACACACTGAGGGTGGCATGTAGAGTCACTCTCGTCCCTGGCTTCGGGGAGGTGACGGCTGCCTTCCGCCCCATCCCCCGGTTTTCCTGGTTCCGACCCTCGCCTCTAACCCGTTTCCTGCTTTTGCCGACCACATTGTTTCCCTGGATGTGTCCCGTGCCGAGCAGGCTTTTTCCTGCAACACCCCCCGCCTCCCATTCTGCTGCCAAGAGAAGCTAGTAACCAAAAACAAAACAACTGGGAGGAGGGGCGGGAAGGGAAGAAAAGTTGTGCCCGGGTGGCGTGTCCCTCTTCAGCTTTGATCCCCTTTGATGTCCAGGGAAGTGCCCCCCTGGGGGTTCAGGGGCCGCGTCGCGGGCAAGGCTGGGAGGGCCCCCTCGGGCTGGCGGCTGCCCAGCTCTCTCAGGGCTCGGGAAGCCGCCGAGGTGCCGCAGTCCCCGCCCGGGGCTCCGCGTTCCCGCCGCAGTCTCCGCCCGGAGCCCGCGCCGGCGGCTGCTCCAAAGTGTTTTCTTTCAGCCTTAAAACAAAATCCAGAGGGAGCTTCCTTCCTCCCCACCTCGCTGCTTTGGGCTCTGCCGGCCCTGCGGCGCTTGGCTGAGATGAATGGGCCCAGGCCAGGCTCTGAGCAACGTCCCCTACCCTACCCACTCTGCGATTAGGATCTGAGCTCGGGCTCATGGCCCCCTCCCCCTTTTCCTGCATTTACAGGCAAGTGAACCGGAGCAAACGACTTCCGATCCAGACCGCGCTGCTGCGGCTCCCGTTTGGGATTTGATTTGCAGTATCTTCGAGCCTGTGCGACAAAAAACCACGAAGCACGCCCAGCCCTGCCTGGCACCCAGATACAGACCCACTCCCTCCCGGGGACACAGCTGGGCGCGTCCACACCCCCGCACCCCCCACACCATGTTGTGCGGAAGGACTTCCACTCCCCTCCTGTGTCGTTGATGTCAGACCCCAGGCCAGCCTCTGGGCGCTGCAGTTCTCCCGGCTAAGGCTGCAGCTCCGGCTCCGGCTCCGGCTCTAGCACAGAATCAAGCTGCCTCCGCACACGGCCCCAGCGCCCACCGTCTGCATGTGCCCGTCGTAGCCGCCTGCCCAGCCCGCAGCCCGCGCTCCCTGGAGCGCTGGAGACCACCGCGGGGGGCCCCTTCTGCCCTTGGGAGAAGCGGTCTTGGAGTTATTGATTTCCGTGGTTGGATTTCTCCCGTGGATCTATCAATTCACAATTCGAATTTGGAAGAAAAAAGGAAAACATGACGTCTCCAGCCAAATTCAAAAAGGATAAGGAGATCATAGCAGAATACGATACTCAGGTCAAAGGTAAGGGCTTTGAAAAAATAACATAATGCACACGCTGTATGGACTGGTAAAGCGTGTATTTCCATCCTGATTTGTAGGCTGTTCATTTCTTTGGGTGGAGCAGGTGGGGTCGGCAGACCCCAGAGGTGGTTCCCATAGGGAGGGTCTGAGCCTCCGAAGGCTAGGCAGTGGCAGGGGTCACAGGTACCGGGAAGGAATTGTCTGAGTGGGTTTTAGGAATATATATGGGGCTGGCCATTATTTTGGCAGTCCTCTCCCCCAGGTTGAACAGGGTGGGGGGAGGGGCAGGAGGTTCTTGGATAGAAAAAAGACAGCAGTTTGCCTCTGGACATCTGGGTCAGGTGTCCTTGAAAGGCAGTTGAAATCTGACAGGTGTTTGGACATGTATTTCAGAGGTTGAAGAGTCTAGACAGAAAGGCAGCCTTGAGAAGGTGTACCATTTGGAGCACCTTGGGAGAGGCGGGGTTTGTTCTGATGCACTGTATTAGAGCATGAGATTTGTTATGGCACTGACCGCACAAATTTCCTAGCCATCTTGGGTGCACCTTGTACCTGCCTGGTCCCTGGTCATGCTGCATGTATCGGTGGAGATCAGAGAATAGACAGAATAAGGTTATCCACACCCAGCCTCCACCCTTACCTGAATCTGAATGCATTTGGGATGTTAGGGTTTCAGGGTGGTGCTGAGTATGGAAAAAGAGAAGACGTAATTGTTTAGTCCTTCTGTGTTGTCACCCTCTGCTCTAGAATGCATGCTTTCAAAGCCCCATTTCTTTTTCTGCAAAAATGAGAAGGGTAAAGCAAAATGTGGACACAGAGAAAGTAGGTGTTCTCTCTCCTCATCTAGTGTACTGGCTGGCTTGGCTGGTCAGTCAGAGCCCAAACCCAAATAGCCTTTTCTTAACCTCTTACAAGGGGTCTGTGCCTGTGAAAGAGCCCTAGCATGTATTTACAAGGTACTGTCCCTTCCTGACCAGTCACTGGAAATAGCCATGTGACTCCAGTCCATTGAGACCTTAGCTGGGGAGTGGGAGAGGTGGGTGGCCTTGAATGTTATACCACATGGTTGGAGCTCTGGATTTTCCTTTGTTTCAGAGTACAGAGGGATGGGCCCCTCCTTCCTTCCCTGCACCAATGCTAGACAAGACCTTTTTCTATCATAGAGGACTTGGGAAGGACCATGTCTGCCCTTTAATGATTGCCTGGGGTAGGAGTAGGGGTGAATTGTGAAAGGGGCAGCTCCCTTATCTGTTGGCAGGTTGGAAGGTAGTTTGAAGTACCCCACTGTGCCTGTAGGATCTTTTTTGTGTCATCAATTTGGTCAGTGCTGGAGGTGCCCTAAGGGACCTTCTATCCACTTGGCTGCAAATATTGGTAGATTTGTTACCGAGATGGGGGAGTTGATGATTGATAGCTTCAGTTGAACTGGGATTGAGAGAGGTGTGGTTGTGAGTTATAATTGAGGTCTTGGCCTCTTGTCACTGTTCCTAATCTGGCCTGTTTTTGTAAACAATAGGCCACTGGCCTCTCTGTCCTGTCCAGATGCTTTCTGCTCTGGGAATCCCCCCTGCAGTTTTACCCAGATGGGACATTTTAAAAAAAATGTATCTTATTTGTAACTGTTGCCAACCAGAGTGTTAATAACTTTGACTTTCCTGGATTTTCCAGAAGCTTAACCATTTGACTTAAGATGCAAAATGATTTTACAGGTTTATTTTTTGGAGGGTTCAAGGCTGATAGGTGTTAATACAATCTGCCAATTTTTTATTGGTAAAGGATTTGTCATGAGTGTCTCAAAATTAAACACTTCATGTACACTTCATGTACAGACATTGCTCACTAAAATGATGTAATATAATCAGCCACTTGGGGTTTCTCTTCAACCTTACCACCATCAGGAGACTGGCTTTGCTCCTTTATTTTTCCATTGACATGCTTCAAGATCATAGAGTTTTATAGATGACAAAACATGATGTCTTCCTTGTAGAAGGTCCTCCCTGAGTGGTTGTGGAATGGATCCGAATAGTTTGGTCCCTCATTTTACAGCTGAGGAGAGTACAGAGAACCAACAAGGCTTGTCCAAGGTCACACAGCTAGGTGGTAGCAGATCTGAAGCTAGAAGCGGATTTACCAACTCCCAACTCCCTATTCTCTATCTTTAGTATAAAACTTAACCTGATCAGGGTGGGGAAAAAAAAATCTTATTAAGGACCCCAAATCTATCAATGAATAATAGTAGTGATAGTGTTAATAGTTTACATTTTGTGTGCTCACTACATTCTTTCCTGTCCCAAGTGCTTTACATGAATGGTCTGGTTTAACCATTGCACTAATCTAGGAAGAGGGTATTGTCTCCTTCTGTTCACCACATGAGGAAACTGAGGCTTAGGAAGGACAGGAACCCTTCCAAGGTCACACAGCCAGATCACAGCAGCTTGGTGTCAGCTGTGTATTGAGTGTCTACTATGTGTTCTGGAAGCTTATGTTCCTGGAGACAAAGGGGCGGGGTTCAAGGTTGGCTGTGCCTCTAGTTACCTAGAAGCCCGGAGTCAGAATTTCGAGTTTCACTTTTTATATGTTCTGTGGGCCTCTTAGTGCTTGTCAGCCTTACTTCTCTTACAGATGTCAGGATGAAAAAGAAGACTGCGGTAACAAAACAGTTTGGATTGGTGGTTACAAGTTTTAGAGACAAGGGTCCAGGTTTAAATCTCCGTTTTGCCTCTCATTATATGCCTTGCCTCAGGCTCAGTTTCCTAATGTGGACAGTGGGCAAAATAATACGCATTTCCAAAGGTAGTTGAGTGCTCCGTGAGACAGTACATGTAAATCACTTAGCACAACACTGGGCTCTCATGGTCTGGTCCTACGCTTTGTTTGTGAGCCTTCTTGGGCTGACTAGTAAGGCTGCACTGTCTGTCCATTTCTAAAATGCTAGATGCTAAATGACAGGAATGTAACTTGAGTTCATCCGTAATAACTAAAGGTGCTTGGACATCAGTTTCCTTTTCTATAAAATGAACAGGAACAGATTGGCCATCGCTGTTCTGTATGTTTCTACCTGGAGCCTTGGGTCTGCTTTTCAGTTGCAATGGTTTGAATCAAATGTGCTCTAAATGGACTTTGCAGGACTCTCTCTAGCCTGTTGTTTTTGCCTCCCACCTGCTTGCATGTGCTCTGAAGAGCTCCTGAGACTGCAGCCCCAAGCCGACCCCAGCTTGGTTTTATGAGGGGTGTGCCTCCTTTGGCAGCCTGCTCTGGAGCTGCCCTTTTAAAAACCATCATTGTTTCTGGTTTGTGGGTGTTCAGATTCCTTTGAAAGTTCATGCCTTTCAGTGTTGGACTCAAAAGCATTAATATTCTTAGTCTTTCTGTGTAGCCTTTTCCAATTTATGAAGTGTTTTCATATATAGTAATCTCGGCAATTTTTTTTTTTTTTTTGAGACAGGGTCTTGCTATGTAGTTCAGGCTGGCTTTGAACTTGCAGCAGTCCTCCTGCTTCAGTCTCCCCAGTGGTGGGATTATAGGTATGCCCCACCACACCCAGCTGTTCTCTGGAAATTCTTGCCAACTCTGGTCAGGTTCATAATCATAACCTTGAGTAGTGAAAGGTAGTGAGGTACAGGGCATGGTACCAAAGATGACTGTCTGGGTGGTATCTGGGAGAATTCACATTGCTTCCTACAGCCCTGGCTATTGTCCTTCCTTGCTCAATGCCCCCTTTTATCCTCTCCATCCCTTACATTTTTATAGTCCCCTGGAAAGCTTGAGATTGGCAGTTAATGCAAATATTCGACGAGGAATAGTTTCAAACAAAATGCCACTGTGTACTGACTGAGCAGTCAGATTCTCTTTCTTGAGAACATTAGGGGTCTCCTCTCTCTCTTTCTGTCTCTCTCTCTGTCATGCCTTAAGAGAACAGTGTGTGTGCATCACAGAGCTGTGAAGTGGATTTTTGTAATTTCCATCTGGAGCATTTTGATAGAAAAAGTGCAGGCCTTTGCCTGAACAGTTTAACCCTTTGAGGACCCTTTGGGACCTGGAGATGAAATTTCAGAGCCCTTTTCTTGTGTATGCACATGCTCTTGGGAGTGCTGATTGCAGGTATTTAAACAAGCGTGCTCCCCTGGGAGGTCTGAGCAGTTCCTCACTTATGCCAACACAGGTCTTCTCCTGAAGCTTCTTCCCTTCCAGCCCCTAACCCCTCCCAAGAGAGCGTTAAATATAATCAATTTGTGAAAAGCTGCAGTAAAACATCTTGGAATCCCCAAGCAGAAGCTATTATTTTCCTGTGAGATATTGAGGGCCCTTCTTCCCTTGCTGAGGGAATGTAGCCATTGTGCAGTATGACGAGCTCTGCTCCTGGAAGAAAATGAAGCTCTTGGAAACAATCAAACGTCATTCATCTCAGAGATGCAAGACCCTTTGGAAGAAAGGGAGAGGCTAGGAGCCAGGCAGGCTGTACGCTGTGCAAAGCACGATGGTTGGAAACTGTCATGAGTGGGCCTTGGCTTTGGAATGTCAGGCCTTCTTTTGGGGAATGGGAACAGAAATTTCTTTTGGAGAAGAATCTCGGGTGTCTGTCTTACAGCACACATGCTGAAAGTGTAGACAAGCCCTGATTGTTTCTCTGCGGTGAAGTTTAGGGGGCCTTTCCCCTTTTAACTGCAGCCATTGCTCAGAAACTGACTTTTTTGTTTGTTCTTTTTTTTTTTTTTTTTTTTTTAGATCAGGTCTCACTATGTAGCCCAAGCTGGTGTTGAACTCACTGCATAGCAGGCTGGCCTTGAACTTATAGCAGTGCTCCTGCCTCAACCTCCTGAGTGCTGGGATTAGTGTGCCACCACACCTGGCCAGAACCTGATTTTTAAACTTCCATTTCCCTTCCAGATAAGCTGAGATGCCTGATGGCCCCATAGAGTTTTCCTTCTGAAAGGATGTTTTCTTCAAGGAAATTGTGCTTACTGCACAGGAACCTTGGGGCTCTGAGGGCCACATGAGGA